TTTATAAATGTAGCATAACATAAGACTGGACAAACTTCATATCTGTTTGCACATGGGACTGCATTGCCATACTCTGAACATAACTGTGCTCTGTGATCAGCCAACCATAAATATTTGTAGGAAGAAGTCGTAAAATTCTAGATGAACTACGAAAACAGGCTTAATTGATTAATCAACCACAACTGTAATACCAATTAAAATTTTCCACTATTAATCACTAGGTCTTAGCATCTTTGTTCACAACTATGTAAGTCAAAGAGTTGTTCTCACGTGCTCCAAATTTAATGAACAGGAAACTCAAAGATGGTTTTTGACTCCATGGTTTTTGATTCCACTCAAAGGTAGCAGAAAATATACCTGTCAAGATTAAACATCTTAATGCTTTTTCTGCTATCAGTATGAATCACAAGCAATGAAACTGATAGTTCTCAAATCACATCATTATTTGATAGATAAATGTTGGGCCTGTTTTTTGGATTCTAGTTACAGATTTGTTAATGCAAAAGGAAAAGTCTTGAGTGTTCTTATATTATGAAAATATAGTTTAAAATCTCTATCAACAGTACTCTTTTGTCAATTTATGTTATTTCAGCCAAATAACAGGTGAGCATGGGAGAGAATGTCCAGGTCCAGACTCTCAAGAAATCTGTCCAAGCTCATTGATTATTTAATTGGTTAAAAGCCAAGTTAACTGAATTGAAACAACAACAAAAAAACATATACCAAGCCCTCTGTATGAGTTGACTGGTTATATTTAACTGGAAAATGGGCAGGGACATGCTCTGTAGGTCTACTGTCATAAAATAAGTAAAATAAGCAGAAGCATCATTCATTCTAAGGTTTTTCAAAACTGCAAACCCATCTCTTAGGAGCTATCAGAGCAACATTCTCCAACCTAGTGCCCTTTAGATGAGTTAGATGAGTTAGATCTGTAAGCTAGGGAGTTAGAGGTGCTACTGTCTGGTACATGTGGCAGACAGGGCTGTATAAGTCTGTCCTAGAGGAATGTGTTAGAAGCAAGTGTCTGAACTGTTAAAAGAGGGTTAGATTACATGAAGGGAAATTATTAGCTGAACATGATGAGCTGAAGAACCTTTCTTAGAAAGGAAAATCATAAAGAGCAGGAAAGCAGAATGAGAAACCATATTTTATTTCAACAGGCTTACCTTAAATTTTCATTGTCTAAGAGATTTTTATTTGTTTGTTTGTTTATGTGAGAGTAGTGAAGACAATCAAGTAGATGATCTTCTACCTTCCTGCACTCTCAGAAGATAAAGTGTACTAGCTATTTATGGAAATGTACTACTCTGGCCAAGTACTGGAGTTCTTAAACTGAACTATTCATTCAGAAATTCTACATAACAAGGATAGTTAATTCCTGCAAGCAAGGGCGTTTCTACACAAGGAAATGTTTCAAGCACCTAACAACCCCACATCATTCCAAAGTGATCTTTTTCAGGGAGAGCTGCATCATGTGACACTTGTGACTAAATGGAAGATTCCTTCAGATTGCCTCCTCTGGAGACAAACATTGCATTCTGTGCATAACTAGGCCCAGAGTCTAAACGGATATGTTTATCTTCTTCTTCTGCAGTTTCATTCATACAATTATGATCTTACATTCCCACTCTGTGTCTGGCATGGGGGCAGAGGGCAAAGATGCTAACATTCAAAATCTAACATTAATGCCAGACTGGAATAAAAGGGGTAACTTCAATGGCATACATCCTATTCAGAAAAAAAATAAAGATCTTGCAGTGCAAAAAGCCACATTCACAACAAAGCAGGCTTAATTTTTTCTTCTTTGCTTCTGTTTGTGCACTGAAGAATTATAATAGCTATCTACATGTGCACTTAAATGCATGTAAGCGTATCACCCTTTTAGAAGATGCACTATAATGCTTGCTTGACTAACTTTGTGTTACAGTGCATTTTATTAATAAAGTAATAATGAAGTATTAAAATACCGTGTTTTGCTTTTTAATTTTATTTGGCACACCTCTATGCATCTTTTGGGACCAAAACAAAAGCAAAACATTGGAACAAGTAACAGGGGAAAAAAAATGTTTTAGGTTGCAATCCAATTCCACAGTTACTCAGAGTTGGTCCTAAGGAACTCAGCTGACATGTTTGAATAGACATGTATAAGATAGAGCTGTTAATTCTTCAGCACTGTAAATTTGCTTGCTAAACATAAACCAATAAATGGGAACCAGCACCCTCTTAACAGTTCCAAATGATACAATCAACATTTTAAGTTTCCCATTGCCTGTGATGCTTGCTGAATAAGAGAAAGTTTAGAAATTTCTGGCCTTTAAGATGTCTGCATCTGTATGCATTTACAATAAGAACTGCACTTTTATTAAATCATTAAAATGTGAGAACGATATAACTTATGGAGGTAATTACTGGATAAAACTTAGCACCTAATCCATCATAGCAGCCAGCCTTAAACAGAATAGCTTCATGTATCCTTATTACATGAAGGGGAAACTCTCTTTATTCTCATACTGCTAGCTCCTCAAGACATTTCTGCTTGAGAATTACCCTTATTTTGAGACAGACATTTTGAAAACTGTCCTATGAACCACTACAGATAATCATTCATAAAAGTTTTCTTCCCATGCATGTGCAGAACCACCATAGACAACATCACTTGTACTATTATGAGGGGAAATGCGCAAAACATTTGCACATGTATTTAATTATATAAGTATACAAGGTACAATGGACACATCCATAATCTTTACATGTGGTTATTTGAATGGATAAAGCCAAAATTTTCCTATACCTGTGTAGCAAAAAATGCAGAAAAGAGGCACAATATGTTTAGGAATTATGATAATACTATTGAAGTTGGACTTGATCAGACTTGTGTCTCAGTACTCCAATTGAACTATATATTATGAGGTTCAGGCAACAAGGCGGTACTCTGAAACTTCCTGCACATAATTGTTTGGGGATTATGACCTGAAATTTTTTTGCATTCATGAAGATTGAGTATTGCAGTGTTTTAACACTACATGCTAAATTTAGCCTTTGAACCCATCAACATGAGCATGAAGTACAAATGAGGTCATGTAAAGAAGCTAGCTATGAGCATTTATGCATTCACTGTTTAGTCCCTAATCTGTAACTGTATTATTTGGTTATATGTGAAAAAAAGAACATTATGCCTGGGCTATGTAGTTATGTATATATTGCAATTCAAATATTAGCATGGTCCAAAATATTTTGAGATAACTGATTGCCAGCTCTAGGACTACAGTGAAATATAGAGCCCAGCAATATTCATTGGATCGTGTCCTTGTTCATAGAAGTTCAATCTTTTTGTCCACATTTTTGCTTTACTAAGTTACTGCATTAAAAATTGTCCTCTGTATTAGATTTCAAATACTATGTAGTGCCTCTAAGTAGAACTGACATATTCAAATGGATAACAGGATAATTATGATAAACTACACAAGAGTGCTATTGTCGAGAATATCATTTATCAATCCTGTGGTCCCCATCATTCATGCATTTTACAGGTTGGGAATACAGTAACTTCAAAGAATAATAATCCATAATGGCTACATTCTTAATAATTCATGCTCATTAAATAAAATTACTAATAATCATAATGAAAGGTTGGTTGTATAAGTGGAAAAATGTAAAAATTTATTCCAAGGAAAATTAACAGGCTACACAGATAAATTTTGGCAAATGCAACTTTATATTGAAATCCACACATCTGTATCTTAAAGAAGGAAAGACTCACAGACTCAAATGTCTTTCTAAGGTACTAGAAATCATATTATATGCTTTCACAAGTTAAAATTGAAATAATTTGAAACAACTAATACACCAAAAATGTGCAGAAAGTATCAACAAGACTGTGCCTTCAGTAGAATAAATGCTTTACACATTGTGCAAGATATCTTACTAAGGCTGCGGTCTTCCCATGACAGCTGTCTTAAAAATATAAACACACATAGACTGCCTGTGTTTCTCAGAACAAACTAGAATGGGCAACACACTTAGAGGGGGGAAAATTATATCATCCTAGCAATAGGCATACTGATCTGGGGGAATCATGGGAATAAAAATGGGATTAAGTGATCTTTCATGCATTCCCAAATGACAGACTAGAGTGACCAATTCATTTTTCTTTACTTATCTGCAAAAAATGCTGAACAAAATGGAAGATACTAGATAATCCCTTAAGGCAACATGTGGTATATTCCATGTATGATTACTCCTTGACGTTACAGTTGGATAATCTCATTAATGTTGCCTAACTGACCGATATCTAGATTTTGAAAATATAAAATGGGTCCAATCAATACTAAATCAAATCAGAATTTTAAAAAAGACTCAAAAAAGGAAACAAACTCACAAAGAATACAATTATATGCATGTAATATTCCATCCAAAATTAAAGCATTTTAAACAAAAAGAAGGTACTCAGAGAACATTAAAAGTCTAATTTAAACAAAAGAGGAAAGAAAAGAAAAACCCAGAAAACAACTGCTTTGGAATGTTCTCCTAAACACTCAAGGCAAACAAAGAATGAAAATTCAGCAGTACATGGCACACAGTTTCCCATCAACTATAGGACTGAAGTCAGTCCCCAGATTTTAGTCTTCAAAAAATAATAACGGTATGAAATGGCTGAAAGGTCATCCAGTGCCTAAAATTAGTTTTATCAACACATTAACCTCATGTCAAACTTAATTGATTCAGATGTCCAATGCTAACCTTTGTGATGGTCTTACTTTACGTCATGGTATATATACAGCATTTAGTGCTGATATATTTAGCACCTGCTACTCTCTGAATCATTACCTAGATTTCAACCCCATCAAAGCATTTCAGGGCAGTGGCTCAGTCCTTTATCCTTAATTACAAACCTTCCCGAATGGTCAGCAGGAATAAGTTTAGATTTCAAAATAGGATTTAGTGATGAGCTATTGCAAAAATGGCAGAATATTGTTGCCCAAATCCTTACAATTGCTGACATCCCCCTTTTAATGCTGTCCTCTTCCTTCTCCTCTTCTTCTTCTCCTCAAGACATGGCAACAGTAACCCACAATTGCTTAGCAGAGAAGGGTAGTGTTTTCACAAGACTAAAGATTTTACAGATGCTCCCTCATATAACACAGTAAGGTTCCCTTGGTAACCTGGATTTTCTGCAGTAAAGAAGGGTTGTGCTGAAACAGCGCCTCAGCTCTCTGTTGGAGAAAATGCAGACAAAAGGATTGATTCCAGCTTGGGCAAAACTCATCCAAACAGCAGCTGTTAGAAATCCCCCAGGAACCACAGGGCCTCTTGCAAAAACTCTCCAGTAGCAGGCGACCAGATAGGGTCCCCACAAGGTGAGAAAGAGGAATGTCATTATATAGAACATTCTACTGATTCGTTTTTCCATTTTGAACTCATCCAAGACAAGTAGCCTTCTCCTGCTTGTGGTGTTGGCATTTTGCCTGATCCCCAACAAGGTAGGCGGTGTGGGACCCCTTCCAAATCCAGCCAGCCAATTTGCAGCCGCTTGACCACTGGCACCAGGGCCATGAAATGTCCAGTTCTGGCTCACCGCAGCAACAAACTGAACTGGCTTCATTTTCCTGCGATCATGAACAAAAAAGATCAGCTTGAGGTAGACAAGCTGTGTGGCTAGAAGGATGAGAGCAAGAAGCAGCATAAATCCCAGAGAATCATTGGCTCTGAAGGAGCGATGCTGAAAGGTGCACTGGTCTTCCTCCCTAATAAATGAATAGGTGCCCACATCCAGTACTGGAGGGAATGCCATAGCTACGGAGAGGGTCCACACCATACAGATCACTGCCAAACAAGTCCAAAAGGACAGTCTTTTTGTATAAAAGCGGTGGTGGGCAATAGCTAAGTATCTGGTGACGCTTATGCAGAACAGCATGAAAGCGGTGTGGAAACAGGACAGGACACCCAAGAAGGCAATCACTTTGCAAGTGAGGGTCCCATACGTCCAAGATGAACCGTTTTTCACGGAAGTAAAAACAAATGGGAAACAAATTGCAGATCTGAGGATATCTGAGCAGCAAAGATCCAAGAGGAAGTAATAAGGAGCTCTATGCAAGGACTTGTCTTTAACTAGCAAAATGGAGATCAGGAGGTTCCCTACCACACTGACTCCTATGATGAATCCCAGAGAAGTCAATTTCAAAAATGCTGTTAAAGGGGAAAGATTTTGCAAAATGTTGTCAGCTGCATGGCTGTAGTTCGCCATAGATGGATGGATGATAAGAAGGTTGCCTCAGTCAAGTCTCATGATCTATATATATGAATAAGGAAAAAATAGATCCATACATCTTACTGTGAATGTATTCCAAAAGCAGGTCTGATCTGGGGTTTAGTTACATAGTACATTCTCTTTTCTTCCTCCCGATTCGTCATGCCATCAAAATATCTGAAAGAAAAAAAAAATCAAGCCATCAGGCCTTAAGTTAACATACAAATAATGCCAGGACGTGCTAACCAATATGTTAATTTATGGAGAGCCAAAGGAAGTTGCGAGTTGGAGTACTATTATTTGTTTGAGGGAAATTCAGTGAGAACTGCACACTTACTATGCAATGCTTTAGGTTTATTCACAATTCCTCAGATTGTTTACAATCCAATCTCCAGACAAGATGAGAGACCTGTATTTTCACTGCTTCCAAACAGCTGGATTCATACGAGATAATTCCAAGCACTGGTGACACTGGTCTCTTTTAAAAATAAAATGGTAAGGAAGACTGTTGAATAGCTCTGTCATGTCCACCTTTTCTGTTTATATGAAGGGCTTCAGAGGCAGATGCTGGGCTGATATGGAATACCTCCAAAAGGCACCCTGCAGAATGTATGTTTTCTAACCCAACTTACCAAAGCATATAATCACGCCCTGCTAGTTCATCCACCCTGAAAGCAGATAACAGAAACACAATTTTCCCAGGGAACTGGGTTCATCCTCTCCTCAGACTTGTAAATAAGGGTCTATGCTAAAGAGTTGACAGCCCAGTGTTTTATGGGCTTTTGTGTCCTTTTCTAACGATATGGGGGTGGGGAAAAGCAGAGCAGTACTGAATATACCCGTACAGTCATGTGTGTTTAGGAAATACACCCCAGGAATAACATCATCTCATTCAGACATTTCCCACCAAGGCTACCACAAAATGCAAGGATTCGTATTTAGACTATTAAACTTCGGGATTTATCTCGATGCTCTCTCGCCAGAAACAGTTCCTGGACCCAGAACATAAAACCCCCAGCTGCTTCCTGGGATTTGGGGGTAGGAGCGCCATTCAAGGCACCAGCAAGCACGGCTGCCCGCTCGCCTCTTCCCATGGAGTGCTCTTCCTCCGCCCTCGCTTCTCGGGCTTACAACATCGCATCTTGACAATGGATCCAAGGAAAAGCCCTTCCACCATTCCACCATCCAGGAATCGCCTGGCTGCTGCTGCTGCTGCTGCTGCTGCTGCTGCTCGGTAAACAAGAGCCCGATCGGATCACGACAGCTTTGTTCCAAACAGACACACCAACACACAGCAACCATCAACTGCACAGACCGGCCGACCGACCCCGCGGAATGTGCTTCCCCCCCAGCCCCCTCTTCCATGTACATCCACACGGCGTCGAGAGGCAAGCAGACGCAGGGGGTCTGCTTCGGAGCCCGCGGCTTCACGCGCTGGGGGCATCGGCTCTCCGGCGCCGACTGCTCTTCCCTTCATCAGCTGATTCTAAAATGACCCCCCCCCCCGGAATCACCATAACACCCAAGCAGCCTAAAGGATGGAGGGGGGGTGTCCCTCCAGCCCCGCTCCAACTGCCGCCTCGCATCTCATCTCCCCTCCTCAGACAGATGCATTGATACTTCGATCTCTCTCTAGCGATCTCGGGTCACACACATACACGCGCGCGGCTCTCCCCCTATACCTGTAGGTGCTGGAGAAAGGGGGAGATAGAGAGAAGCCCCCTCCCCCCCTCACCAGGTCTTCTTTTTTCTATTTGCTGGTATTTTCATGCCTCGATTTATTTCTTTATTTCCTGGGCTCCTCGGCTGCTCAGGCTCAGGAGTCAGTGGGCTCAGCCGGCGCATGCTCAGTGAGCCTCCTTGAGCGCCTAGCCTCGTCTTCCCCGTCGCAGCGGCACAATCGCTCCCACTAACGCGGCAGCAG